GAACTAATCACTGATGGTAGGCAGTGTTTCAGACAATGTAACGAGTACTTGTTTTCATGTTGTCAGGACTCAGCAGAGTGTCTGGCACTTAGGAGTCCTCAATTTCTGTTTCTCACGCAATGAATGCATGGATGATTAAATGAGAAATATTTTGGGCATCCTCATCAGATTACATCCCATAAAAATAAATGCCTAACCCCCACGTGCAAGGCTGATTCCTCCTTTTAGTTTATAGCTCTTTCCCCACCCCCTGGTTTAAAAAGTAATGCTTGCTTATTATAAAAACACTCTTGGAGATGTTTCTTCTTTCTATGGTTTTATTTTTTATATTTAACTTTTTAAATTCATCTGGAACTAATTTCCCAATATTACGTATAAAATAATCCATCCCCTACCCTTTTAATACATGATGTTTATATATATATATGCATATATACTAAGTTCTTATGTATAATAAGGTGTATTTCTGAGCTAGCTGTTCTGTTTCATTGCTGTGCCCACCCACTTTGTATGTCAGTATCACCTAGTTATTGGGATTTTATTATATGTTTTAAGGTCTGGTAGGACAGGTATTGCCCCACTATTCCTCCTTCAGCCCCTCTCTCCACCAGTTTATTAAGCACGGGTCCATCTTGCCGCCCACTCTAGTGCTTTTGAGAGCAAAGCTTTCTTTGGCAAAGTCTGGGCATGGAACCAGATCTAGGTTCATAGTCTACATTTGCAGCTTCCTAGCTCAATGCCTCTCAATCTCAGGGATATGTAAACTGGCAATGAAATGTTTAGAGTAGAAACTTATTGTCGTAATGAACTGGAATAACATCTAAGAATCATCCAGTACACAGTAGATGGTCAATACCTACCATCTGGAGTGGAGGAGTGACTCTGAAGGCCCAGGCACCTTTGCTTCTATCCCTTCATCCTTATCAGCAGACATGGCAAATCTTTTGAAAACCTCTTGTACAAATGCTGAGGCTTGGATCTGTCAGCCTCAGGCCAGCTTTTAGGCTTAGAGTGTCCAGGATTAAGACTTGGCCCAGCCTCTGGGCAGCCTCTTCAGGGTTTGCATTGGTCCAAGGGAAGTCTGGTGGTTGTGCTGAACTGGAGCCATTTCAGAGTGATCTGGGCACCTGGGAAGTGGGTGTGAGTAAAGTGCTGAAATCCACTTTACCTAACCTTAAAGGAAATGCCAGGGAATTAACACCCTTTGCTTCATCCCCAGGGAGCCCATCTCTAGATTGGCAGCCAGAGAAAGGCTTCAGTCTGCAAATTACAGGTGTTGGGGATGGGAAGTCATTCTAGCACAGACAGGTGGTACTGGTGAGGGGAGATGGGTGAGACTCTGACAGCATGTGCTAGACTTTGAAGGTGGAAGACATGAATTGGATTGCAAGAGCCCCCACAGTACTGAGTTAGTCCTATGCACTTGCCGAGAGGTTTATAAAGGTGACTAGTTATCCTTAGACAAGTACAGGCACTGGAAAGCAAAGGCCTGGGGTGAGTCATAGGGACCCAGGAGTTTTGAAGGCCAAAACCTTACTTCTTTCCTGGAACTTTCCCTCCAACTCAGAGAGGGTCAGACAGAAATACACCTTTCATATCTTCAAGAAGCATCCCTGAAGGCCTGCTGTGTGCTCTCAGGAACTAGGATAGGAGGATAGACAGCTGTGACCTCAGAGTTTTCATACAACACAGTGAGGAGAAAAAGCGTGACGACCATCCTCGTGTTTCTGGATTTGCTCTCTGATGATGCCAATGAGGCAGTTTGATTTCCCACTCTAGCTATATTCCTGCATGGCCTTCTGTGAAAGAACAGATCAGATGTTCACAGCTAGAAGTCAAAAGCTGGACTATTGTCTAGTCAAGCCTTTTTCTCTTCTCCTCTTTTTTTTAATAAAAAATATAGTTTAATCCTACATTTTTATTAATTGAAGTATGGTTGATTTACAATGTTGTGTTAGTTTCAGCTGTATGGCACAGGGTTCAGTTATCTATCTATCTATATATATATAAAGTACTTATAGTGTGTATATGTGTGTGTGTTAGTCACTCAGTCATGTCGAACTCTGTGACCCCATGGACTGTAGCCCACCAGGCTCCTCTGTCCATGGAATTTTCCAGGCAAGAATACTGAAGTAGGTTGTCATTCCCTTCTTCAGAGGATCTTCCTGACTCAGGGATTGAACCCAGGTCTCCCGCATTGCAGACAGATTCTTTACTGTCTGACTCACCAGGGAAGCCATATATATATTTGCTGTTGATCAGTCACTCAGTCATGTCCCTAAGAGTCCACAACTCTTTGTGACCCCATGGACTGCAGCACATCAGGCTTCCCTGTCCTTTGCTATCTCCCGGGGTTTGCTCAAACTCATGTCCATTGAGCTGATGGTGCCATCCAACCATCTCATCCTCTGTTGTCCCCTTCTCTTTATGTCCTCAATCTCTCCCAGAATCAGTGTCTTTTCCAGTGAGTCATCTGTTCCCATCAGGTGGCCAATGTTTTGGAGCTTCAGCATCAGTCCTTCAGTGATTATTCAGGTTTGATTTCCTTTACGATTAACTGCTTTGATCTCCTTACTGTCTAAGGGACTCTCAAAAATCTCTAGTATCACAGTTCAAAAGCATCAGTTCTTCAGTGCTCAGCCTTCTTTATGGTCCAGCTCTCACATCTGTACATGACTACTGGAAAAACCATAGCTTTGACTATAGGGACCTTTGTCGGCAAAGTGATGTCTCTGCTTTTTAACATGCTGTCTAGGTTTGTCATAGTTTTTCTTCCAAGGTGCAACCGTCTTGTAATTTCAAGGCCACAGTCACTATCCACAGTGATTTTGGAGTCTAAGAAAACAAAGTCTGTCACTTTCCATTTTTTCCCCATCTATTTGCCATGAAGTGTGGGGGCCAGATGCCATGACCTAGTTTTTTGAATGTTGGGTTTTAAGCCAGCTTTCTCACTCTCCTCTTTCACTTTCGTCAAGAGGCTCTTTAGTTCCTCTTCACTTTCTGCCATTAAGGTGGTGTCATCTGTATATCTGAGGTTACTGATATTTCTCCCAGCAATCTTAATTCCAGCTTGAGCTTCATCCATCCTGGCATTTTGCATGATGTACTCTCATATAAGTTAAATAAGCAGAGTGACAATATACAGCCTTGATGTACTTCTTTCCCAATTTTGAACCAGTTTGTTGTTCCATGTCCAGTTCTAACTATTGCTTCTAATCCCACATACAGGTTTCTCAGGAGGCCAATAAGGTGGTCTGGTATTCCTGTCTCTTTAAGAATTTTCCACAGCTTGTTGTGATCCATACAGTCAAAGGCTCTAGCATAGTCAATGAAGCAGAAGTAGATGTTTTTCTGGCATTACTTTGCTTTTTCTATGATCCATCAGATGTTGGCAATTTGATCTCTGATTCCTCTGCCTTTGCTAAATCCAGTTGGTACATCTGGAAATTCTTGGTTCATATACTTTTGAAGCCTCGTCTGAAGGATTTTGAGCATTACCTTGCTAGCATGTGAAATGAGTGCAATTGTGCAGTAGATTGAGCATTCTTTGGCATTGCCTTTCTTTGGGATTGGAATGAAAACTGACCTTGGCCAGTCCTGTGGCCACCGCTGAGTTTTCCAAATTTGCTGGCATATTGAGTGCAGCACTTTCATAGCATCATCTTTTAGGATTTGAAATAGCTCAGCTATTTGATATATACGTGTATGTGTATATGTATGTATATATATAATTTTTCAGATTCTTTTCTCTTATAAGTTGTTACAAAATATTGAGTACAGTTCCCTGTGCTATACAGTAGGTCCTTATTGCTCATCTGTTTTACATATAGTAGTGTGTATATGTTGATCCCAAACTCCTCATCTGTCCCTCCACCCTCCCCATTCCCCTTTGGTAACCATAAGCTTGTTTTCTATGTCTGTGGGTCTATTTCTGTTTTTTAAATAAGTTAATTTGTGTTTATTTTTTAGATACTTTATATATAATTTTATATATTTTATTTTTTATATATAAGTGATATATTTGTCTTTCTCTGACTTACTTCACTTTGTATGATAATACCCACGTCCATCCACATTGCTGCGAATGTCATGATTTCATTCTTTTTTATGATGAAGTAATATTCCACTATGTACATATACCACATCTTTATCCATTTACCTGTCAGTGGACATTTAGTTTGCTTCCATGTCTTGGTTCTTGTTAATAGTGCTTTTGTGAACACTGGGGTGACGGTTTCTTTTCAAATTATGGTTTTCTCTGGATATATGCCCAGGAGTGGAATTGATGGATGATATGGTAACTCTATTTTTTGTTTTATAAGGAACCTCCATACTGTTCTCCCTAGTAAGCCTCTTTATTTTCTTTAAGAGATAACCAAACTTAGAGAAAGGTGGTGATTTGCTCAAGTTAATCCAGCTTTGTAACAGTGATGGGACTTCACTATTCTGCCCACAATTCATCATCAGAAAAGTGGGATTTCTCTTTGCTTTACATCAAGCCTTTAGAGGCAGCACACAGTCTATGAGTCTATCACTGGAACACAGTGAACATTCACATTTTTGAGAGAGGAAGACAAATGTGGATGGTGTCAAGTTTACATAGGAAACAAAGAAGCAACACAGTGTAAGAGTTAAACCACCTGAGGTCAAAATTCTGGTTTCTTCACTTAAAAGCTGCATGAACTTAAGCAGCTTTCTTCATTTCACTATACCTTATCTTCTTATCTGCAAAATGAACATGATGGTGTTGCCCACTGGATTGTTTTAAGAATTACAACACTTAGCTCAAGGCCTAGGATGAAGGTGTATCACTAGGATGAAGGGTTTCTAGAAGGGTCCCTGCCCAGGGAGGGTTGATGTTCCCAGGCCCATGGGGTCAGACCATGGTGTGCGACTGACATCTCCATGTGGCCCCTTTCCAGTTCCAGGAGCCCTGGAGGAGCGGCACAGAGTGGGAGAGTGTGGCGAGAGAATGAAGACACCAACCGCCCGGGAGAAGCATGAGGTGGCAGTGCAGTGCTCGGCTTAGAGGGCTTCGGCCGGCGGCGGCGGCCCCGTGGGCAACTCTGCTGGCACTAGGCCTCCCCGGTTGGGTGCTGGCTGTCTCGGCCACGGCGGCCGCTGTGGTCCCCGAGCATCATGCCTCCACGGCCGGCCAGCCGCCCCTGGACTGGCTTCTCACTGATCGGGGCCCCTTCCACCGCGCGCAGGAGTACACAGACTTCGTGGAGCGCTACCGCCAGGGTTTCACCACCAGGTACAGGATCTACAGGTGAGTGGGGCTCCCCTCCGAAGCCAGCCTGGGTCTGCACGGGTGCCAACCGCGAAGCCAGCTGGCAGACCGCAGATTGCACTAGGAGAGAGCTGGAGGAGTAGCAGGCAGGGGGAACAAGCTTGCCATGTTTTTTTTTTTTTAAAGCAAGAAGAAAACACATACAAGCTGGAAAACCTGCTGATGCCTCCTGGGGAACTTAGCAAAAGGGTTTCTATTTATAGGTTGTGCTGCTTATAAATTGAGGACAAATCAGGCGGCATGGAGTCAGCATGTGGCCCGTGCTGCTGCAGGAGGTCAGAGTCAAATGCTGGGGACGGGTTTTAACTAATGGGTGAGATGCGTTTATGAGTTGTAATTACCTCTACTTGCAAATGAAGGCAGGGCAGCTCCAGTTCCTGCCTGAGAAGTGGGGGGAGCCCCACAGAGGCAGGGAGGGGCCTGCGCTCACCCTCGTCAACACCACAGCCTCGGCTGGCCTTGTGCGAGGAAAGGCGCTGTGTATTCCTGCCCTCTCTCTGAATGGCCCTCAGGAGCATCAGAGCTGAAAGTCAAGCACGTGACCTACCTGGTCCATCCGACTAGGCACGAATTCCCGGCTGCTGGAGCAGCCCTTCAAAAGCACAAGGCTCCTCGAAACCCTCACCTTGGGTGACTCAGCGAACCTCAGCGCTCTCTGGAGTGTATTCCTGAATTCAACCTTGCCCTTCATCACTGGGCTCAGTCTTTCCCTTAGTTCAACCCCTTTTCCTCTTTACACCGACCTCTTCCCATTCAGATAACTCTAGGAGCTTTGCTAGAATTTTTTTTTTAATTGAAGACATTTACTTTTCAGTTACAGATTAGTTCCTAATGAAAGGAGTGGAGATGGAATATGAAAAAACACAAAGAGAAACAGAATCAGAAAATCACCTATTCTTTTGCCAGGTAGAGGTTGCTCTCTGTAACCTGAGTGTATGCATTCTTAGTCTTATGAACATGCTAAAGGTTTCACCCTCTCTCTGGATCTAGCAGTTTACATCTACATGCCTTATGCACGTGAACTCACTTAATCTTCCTAGCGATCCTCTGTGGGAAGAACAGTTATTCTCCCTGCTATACAGATGAGAGAATTGAGGCCCAGAGAAGCTAAGGAACTGGCCCAGGGGCACACAGCTGGTGAATGGAGATTGTATGGTACCTGCATGCGCTTTCCATATAAGAAAGGACGTGAACTGTGATGGGAGAAGAACAAGACTTTCCAGTGGGGTTAGGGTACTTGGTGTAGAATTTCACAAAGCTCTCCCTCACAGCAGAAGAGAGGCCCTTCTCTTCTAGCTGTTTGTGAGCATATCATAACAATTACACAACCAGGTTCTAACACTAAACTCCAGATCCTACCTCTTCTTTTCACTTTTCCATTCTTATTTGAAAATCAGAGTGTTCTCTCACTTGGAGGAGATGACTGGTTGTTCTAAAATAGTTCTGGCCTGTCTAACTGTGGGTCCCCAGAGATTTTGCTCTCTCCATTTAGGTTTGTATTCATGTAGGCACAGGTGCTTCAAAGTGAAGGTTCTGGAGCCAAATGACCTGAACTCTAATCCTGGAGCTGCAGCTTACTAGTTTTATAATGTTGGGATAATTATTTAATTTCTTTGTTCCCTACTTTCTTTATTTGTAAAATTGGGACAATTATAGTGCCCACCTCTAATGGACTGATGTGAAAATTAAAAGAGTTGATTGATGTAAAACACTTAGAATAGTGCTTAATAAATAATACCTATTATTAGAGTATCACTCAATAAATATTAGCCAATGGAAAAGTCATAATGAGATGAGAGCCATGGGTACTGTCTTTGTGATAACATCTACTGAGGACTTAGCATTTGACAACTTATATTAGAAGGAGAAAAAAATCTTCTCTTGTTTTTTATTTTTTTAATAAATAGAGAAGTGTTTCATGCTTCTCTATTTTTTTAACTAATTAATTTATTTGTGGCCCTATCCCACAGCATGCAGAACTTCCCTAACCAGGGATCAAACCTCTGCCCCCTCCATCACAAGCACAGAGTCCCAAGGAGTGGGATCACCAGGGAAGTCCCTCTTGCTTTCTTTTTTAAAGTGTATTAACCTTAATTCCTTCTCTCTGTCTCAACTGGAGAATGAATGAATCTTCTCTGGGGCACACTCTTACTGGTCTTATGGACTACCAGAAGGAGCCAGCTTATTTCCAGCCTGTTTTAGAGACACCACAGAGAATGACCTTTCTTCTAAAGTCAGGGATAGCCAACCGAGCAGGCCTGCCTTGCGATGTCCTACAGAAGGGAGTCAGTGGTCCCTGCCAGCTCCCTGGTCCCAGGGCTAACATGAACAGTCTCAGGATGGCACCATGATGAGAAAAGAGACAATATACACCCTTGTGAAAACTTTCTAAATAACAGGATGGGGCTTGGCCATCTTCCTCAATTTTTGGTCAGCTTTTAAATTCCATTAGCTGACCTCTGAGCAACTCCTTAAGACCTGTCAGACCAAGATCTGAGTGATCAGCCACTTCTCAGACACTGTCTCTTAACAGGCTAGTGGTGAGAGCTGTGAGAGCAGAGATCCTGTCTCTAATTCCATCTGTGACCCCTGAATGCCCACATTTGCGCCACTCTTTAGCCCTCAGTACAATGAACATTTAAGTGATCTGCCTGTCACACCAGCCCTGTGAGGCAGGTGGGGACTCTTAGGGTTCAAAGCAGTGAGTTGGACTTGTTCAAGGTCAGAGGGGTAGCCAGTCATAGCCAGAAGTAACACTCAGGGCTCCTGACTTGAAGTCTCCTGCTCATAACTCTAGACCACGCCACTTCCCTTTGACTGGTAAATGCATCTTCTTCATAATGCGCAACCTAATCAGGCACCTAAATTGAGCTGATGCAAATGTAAATATGGTTTCTTGAAACACTCTAGCGGTAATGTTCCATTCTCTCCTTGCTACAAATCAAAGTAATGAGCAGTCTGGTTTTTTTTTTTTAATTTCTTTTTGTATTAAGGCTTTAATAGAGAGATAATCATGGGATTGGAAAAAATCCAAACCACTATGATGAAACACTTATAACTCGGAAAGAATAAATTAAAATGAAGAGAGAAAGTTAGAAATAGTATAGAACAATGAGTGTGATATGGTGGTTGGAAGAAAAAAGCAAGGCCGGGTATAATTCCAAATTATTGACCTTAGTCATTAATGCCTCCATTTCTGTCTCTCTTTTAGAAAAGAAGGGTCTGGGGATGTGTTAGAAGTCTTTTGAGAGGACAACAAATAAAAAATTAATAGATATCTTCATTTTAAAAAATACCTTTATATTTTTATCATATTCTGGGCAGAGTTTGCAAATTTTGAGAACCAAAGTAGAACAAAGCTTAAAACTAAGAGGTTGGAGTGGTACCCAAAGGTAGGCAGTGTAGAAACAGAAATGTGTTTTAGCAGGTGCATCTGGAAACATCCAATAGGACAAACTGGGATAGAATCAGATGGTGTGTTGAATGAGGTCCATTAAAAGAACCTTTCCACAGGCACCAGAGCAGTTATCATAAGGAAAGATAATCTGCTTATGATTCATTAGGATGTAAAACAAGGGTTGGCAATAGCTTACCTGAGAAGGAAGTGAGATACAGGCAAAACCAAATATTTTGTCCATGCTGCTCCTTGTGTGGTCTGTGGACCAATAGCGTTGGCATTACCTGAGAGCTTGTGAAAATTGCAGACCCTGAAGCCTTGTCCCAACCTACAAAATCAGAATATGCATTTTAGCAAGAGCCCCACATGAACTGTATAGCATTTAAGCTTGATTAGACTAAGTGCTTGGGAGATGGAGAGGAGAGTGGAGTGGCCAGGGTGGGGAAGGACAGAAGGCTTCATGGTAAGGCAGCATCCTCCATGATGCACTTGAGGTAGTGAGAATATTTACAGGAGATGCTACAAATAGAGTAGTCGTCATGGGAAATTGAATTTAGGAATTATTAGTGCCAAGGCACATAAACTCATAAGAATAGATCCAGGCAGCTGGGGGAAAAGATGTTTAAAAGCAGAAAAGGCTGGAGGGCCTAGAACCAGCCTGTGGGTGCCTTGTGGGAGATGGAGAGGTGGGGAAGGAGAGAGCAGCTGTGGAAGCCATCAGACAGGGAGCACCAGAGCTGATTTATCATCCAGACCACATCTCACGGACTAACACACACTGATTTGAATAAACAGAAAACCCTGGGAGAGGCACCATTTCCAATTAAGAGATCACAATCCACATAAATAAACGGCAACCTCAGTCTGCCTGGGTAAATCCCAGTGATTTCCTAGGTGTTCATTACGGCTGCAGAGGTAGAGAAAGGTTGTGTTATCACGCAGCTGCAGGGCACCACAAGGGAAGCCCTGGTTCTCAGGCGGATGGGACAGGCAGGGAAGGAGGTGAGTTCTGCCAGAAACACTACCATCACCTGAGCCAACTGATTGATCTCTGCCCTTCTCACTGGGTTCCTATTTTGACGAGGGAGTTTCTTGAGATGGAAGAAGAGGAAGAAATAGTACAAAAACTAGAGCAAAACAAAGCAAAACCAGAGGCACTGCAGAGTGATGAGCCTAGAGACTCATCACAGGTACTCTTTCTTGGTCCATAGAGGTGAGGAGGTGGGAGGGGAACAGAATGAAGCGTCTATAATCTACTTTCCTCAAGAGTTCACTGCTGGCTAAATGTACAGCTCAGTATCTGACATAGACTATCTCATCTAGGCTGTAGACCCAGCCCAAGGACTTCACCCAAGGAATTTTCTTCCAGAAGTGTCTGGAGGTTGAGCCCTACAAGGGCATACAGGCCCTGGAATCAGGCCTTGCAGACCCTCATCCTTGGACAGCATCTCCTCTCCATCTTAACATGGCAACATCTGGGACCAGTGGAGCCGACCTATGTGAAGGAGGAAATGTATTGCCCACTTGGAGAAAGGAGAAAGCACATAAACAGACAAAGGCGATTCAAGAGCATGAGAAGAGC